TAATCTCTATCTGCCACGGCTCAGCACACTGACCCAATCACTTTTCATAGCCAGATGAATGTTCGTAGTGGATATATAATTAATGATCTGGATCTTGCTGTGCAAGGGGACCATTTCCAAATTTATAGACAGCAAGAAACCTGGGAGAATTGTAATCTGTAAAGAGAACAGTGCAGAAATTGGATAGGACATTGAATAGTTGATGGAGTGGGCAGACAGGTGGCAGATGTAGTTCAATGCAAAGAGAAGTGTGAGGTGATCCACATTGGTGGGAAGAACATTGGAAGATAATATAAAATAGGAGAGTACAACTCTAAACGGGGGTATAAGAGCAGAGGGAGTTGGGGGTATATGTGCACAGACCGTTGAAGGTGGCAGGACAGGGGGAGAGCACAGTTAATAAAGCTCACCGCGTTTTCAGCTTTATTAAAAGGGGCACAGAGACCGACAGCAGGGACGTAATGTTGAACTTGTACAGGACACTTGTTAGACCTCAGCTGGAGTACTGTGTACAGTTGTGGGCGCCACATTAGAAGAAAAGTTTCAAACGCATTGGGTCGGATGGGGTGGGGGGATGGGGAGCACAGAAGCAGTTTACAGGAAAGATTCCAGGGATGAGACACTTCAGCTCTAAGGTTAGAATGGAGAATGATACTTTTCAGTCCATACCAGGCACTGTACCGAAATTAAACCAGGAGCTTTGTTTTGACTTGAGTTCAGAAATAACCAGGAGTTTGGTTTAAAAAGAGATCTGTTTCTCTCTTGTCAAGAGATTGCTTCAGTTCAGATATTGTCACTCTGTGAGTGCACCAGCAGTGTGTTTTCTTTTTGTTGTTTTTTTTTCAAATTTGTGAAGAATCCAAGCCAGGACAGTTTGATACAGCAACTTAAAATTCTCAGAAGTGAAATATTAAAAAAAAACACTCATGCCCTCAAAATCACAAGATGGGCACACAATCAAACATGGGAATGAATTGTAACACTGAAAAGACAACAATGGAAGGAAGGTGTAGTAGGAACTGCAAATGCTGGAGAATCCGAGACAACAAGATGCAGAGCTGAATAAACACAGCAGGCCTTCATCAGAGGGTCTAGGCCCGAAATGTCAGCCTTTCTGCTCCTATGATGCTGCTTGGCCTGCTGTGTTCATCCAGCTCTGCACCTTGTTGTCAATGGAAGGAAGGAGCCAGTTAAGTAGAAAGCTGAAGAGTTGGTGGAGGAGGATAGAAACATAGAAAATAGGATCAAGGAGTAGAGCTCTGTCATTCAATGAGATTGTCCAACTCAGTCCCCTGTGTGTGAGGAACTATATGTAATACCACCCATGAGGGGCAGTCTTGGTGTACTGGTCATAACACAAACAAGCAATTGAGTGAACCAGGGTGACAGACCACAGGGTGGGTTCAAATGCCCCCTTCCCTGGGGGACTTGCAAGGGAACAGTCATCCAGTCTCAGTGAGGTCTGGGCTCAATGTTGGATCTAGGAGATGGTGTCCATCGAACCCATCAACCCCACCTTCAGAAGAGTCCCACCTGGAATCTCTGCCGGATCTTAGATCTTCTGGATCCCATTGCCACCAATTCTCAAGTGAGCAATCTGCCCAGTCCATGGGCACATGGCTCAGAACTTGACAACAATGCCCAAGAAAGGATTGGGGGAGCGGTGAACAAGATGGTGGGGTGGACCGAAAATTGAAACAGTGAATTCCAGTGAAACTTCACACATCACAACAGCAGTGGTGCTATTCCAAGAGAATGCCAATATCCTTGCTTTTCCCACCCCCGTCCATCCCCGGGAATTAGTGTGACTCCCCTCAAATGCCTGGAGGGGTGCTACTTGAGAGAAAGAGATTGACTTATTGAAGACCGACATGACTCACCAGATACTCTCACGAGAATGCTGTTACTGTAGGGTGTTGTTTGTGTCGATGTGGAAGTTTGGCATCTGTGCTCCCCATCATGCTCTTTTCCAGCAGCCTCAATAGTGTAAGTCTTCCCCCTGAACTCTTTGATAGTGTTGTTTACGATCCACGTATATCTCACTGAACGAAGCTCTCGACCGGCATCACAGCTAAGAATGATCCGGTCACCCGTTAAAAATCTCTCCCACATTGGCTCCATCGTGAGCACAGGTGTTCCAGTCTCTGCTGAGGAACCTAATGCACAGGAAAACAAAAAAAAAACACAAGGGGAAGAACTGAAATTGTCTTGCTGCAGTAGGATTCTCCAACAATTCAAGCAGTCCACATTCAAGATCTGGACAATATCGAGGCTTAGGCTGTTGAGTGGCAAGTAAAATTTGCACCACACAAATGCCAGGCAATGACCATCTCCAAGAAGAGAGAATCTAACCATCACCCCTAACATTCAATGGTGTTATCATCCCTGAATCCCCCACTGTCAACATTCTGGGAGTTGCTGTTGAGAGGGAATCTAACCATCATCCCCGCAATGTTCACTGGCACCACCTCCACTATCAACATCCTGGTGGTTACCATTGAGAGAGAATCTATCCATCACCCATCGATATTCAATGGTGTGTTACCATCACTGAGTCCCCCCACTATCAACATCCTGGTGGTTGCCAATGACCAAAAACTGAACTAAGCTCGCCATGTAAATACATCGGCTACAAGAGCAGGTCACAGGCTGGGAATCCTGCAAGAAGTAACTCACCTCCAGACGCCCTAAAGCCTGTCCACCATCGACATGGCACAAGGGATAGTCAACATGGTTTTGTGTACGGAAAATCAAGTCTCACTAACTTGACTGAATTTTTTGCAGAAGTGACAAGGAAGATTGAAGGCAGAACAGTGGACACTGTCTAAATGGACTTCACCAAGGCATTCGACAAGGTTCCACATGGTAGACTCGTTAACAAGGTTAGATCACATGGAATACATGGAGAGCTAGCCAACTGTACACAAAATTGGCTCGAAGGTAGGAGACAGAGGGTGGTGGAGGGTTGCTTTTCAGACATAAGGCCTGTGATCAGCAGCGCGCTGCAAGGATCAGTGCTGAGTCCACTGCTTTTCATCAATTACATAAATGATTTGGATGTAATATAGGAAGCATTGTTACTAAGTTTGCTGACAACACTAAACTTGGTGGTAAAATGGACAGTGAATAAGTGTATCTCAGAGTACAATGGAATCTTGCCTGGGCTGAGGAGTGCAGACGGAGTTCAATTTAAATAAATGTGATGTGTTGCTTTTCGTAAAACAAATTAGGGCAGGACTTATAGACTTGATGGTAGTTTCCCAGGGAGTGCTGCTGAACAAAGTGAGCTTGGAGTGCAGGTTCATAGTTCATTGAAAGTGACATTGCAGATGGAGAAAGAAATGAAGAAGGTGTTTGGTACGTTTACCTTTATTGGTCAGTGCATTGAGTATAGGTCATGTTGCGGCT